GAGCAGCGCACTGCTGGAGACGGCCTTTCCGTCCGTCATGAACTGTCTCCTGCACACGGACGATCACGCGGTGATGCTGGCCGGCGGCGAGTGCCTGCGCAGCTTCATCAACGTCTCGCCGGGCCAGATATGCAGCTACAATAACGGCGAGGGCGTCAACTGCATCATGCAGGTGGTGGCCACCGTTCTGCTCAATCCCATGAACAGCGAGATGACGGCTGCCGGGCAGATCGGGCGCCTGGTCATCACGATCATCACCAAAATGGGCAGCATGCTCGGCCCGAATGTGGACATGCTGCTGAAGGCTGTGATCAGCAAAATGCAGAACCTGGAGTGCCTTAAGGTGATCATGAATCTGGTTCTAATCTTTGCCCATCTCTTCCTCACCCAAATGGACGCCGTGCTCAACTTCCTGTCCACTGTGCCGGGACCAAACGGGGAGCCGGCCATGCAGTTTGTCCTCTCCAACTGGCTGTCGCGCCAGAACTCATTCTTCGGCATGTACGAGCGCATGGTCACCACCATGGCCCTCTGCAAGCTGTTCGAGTATGGCGTGGCCACGCAGGACAATCGCCTGACAAGCATCACCTACAAGGAGCTGGTGGAGGATACCAACGATTCGCGCAGGCTCACCCGCTCCGTGGCCGCCGCCAATCAGAAGTGGGTCACGATTCCTGCGCTCGTGAAGATCTTCAAGCTGCTGATGTCCGAGTACCAGCACTTCCAGGAGAGCAAGACGGATGAGCCGCTCACCGACACCGACGACGACGAGGGCGAGGCCGAAGACGAGGCCACCAGCTCGGACCAGTCGCGTTTCATCTCCGACCTGTACGTGGAGTACGACAAGGATAATGTAGAGGACGAACTGCTGCTCAAGGAGCTGCTCAAGGAGACCAACTACACGGGCGACATTGCCGAGAATCTGCAGAAATTCCTCACCAACTTCACACAAAACAAACATTTTCCCAGCTTCTACGAGCATCTCAACGAAGCGGAGCGTCTCATTCTGCACAACAAGCTGCAGCAGCAGAAGTAGTTAGAGGATCCCATCATAGAGGAGACAGAGTCAACATTGTGTTAATCGTATTTATATATTGTTAATAATCCTTTGATTAAACACAGTTGTATTTTTTCTACGCCACGCCACTGTACTGGTAAAACAGGTAAAAAATTCATTTAATTATGGATTATCTACAAGTTTATGCTGTTGGATTCTTCAGAGTGCCACCTCATCGTTTCGGAGCTTGTGCTGTAGTGGAATGTCGGGTTTGTAGGCATCCTAAAGAACAGCAGATCGGATGATTAAAAAGAACATCAATCGAGGGAGAGAGAAATTAAGTTTTTGCTACTTGCCAGTGGCTTGTCAGAGCCAAAGCTAAAGAACCTTCGTATGCAGGGTGTCAGCAGTACGGGATCAACTTTATTTGGATTGTTTCTGCCAAAGGCCAGGGAGCCGAGCAGCGCCACAATAATGGTGATCGAAGCGCCAAAGGTTGTGTACCACATGTACGAGATGCGGTAAAGTGGAAAGATGTCCCTTTACGCGAAAAGAAATGAGCATAAAGTGGGAGACGAGACCATTCTTTGGCTTACTCTGTGGCTGATCCTGCCAGATGTAGACTGCTGTTGGCCGCACTCGTGGCGGTGAGATTGAATCTGTAGTCGCACTGCTCAATGTTAAGCGGCTTCGTGTTGTAGCTAATGGCACCCGAGGCAATGGCCCACTGGGCATTGAGGCTTACCCAGGACATGGCTATAACGCCCATGATGCCGCCCAAAAGAGCGCTCTGTGGGAAATGAAATCAAGACTGCATAATCAGGAGAACACCTGATGGGACAGACTCACATTTCCATTGATCCAAGGCAGAAACAGGCCAATGGTAAATATGCCAAAGAGCGGGCCATTTGTGATGGCCTCCAGGCTCATGGTCAGCTGCAGGACTGTTCCCATGTGCTCCACCACATAGACGAGGCAGACACAGAGGGCACCCACACCGACGACCACCAGGCGCATGATCCAGTTGATGGACGAGCTGGAGAGCGGCTGCTTAACGTAGGGCTTCACAAAGTCCTCCAGCACCACCGCCGACATGGAGTTGAGGCAGGTGGAGAGCGAGCTCAAAGCAGCACTGAAGACGCCAGCTATGAAGAGGCCCGTCATGCCGGGCAATTCGCCCAGCGTGTCCATCACAAAGAGCGGCAGCAGTTGATCCCGAGCCTTTGCCAGCTGTAAGATTAGCAAGAGATGAGCAATGAGGGGGAGTGGAGTGGTGCAGTTCTTGCCTTGGTAGTGAGTGGATCACAGTTCTGGTAGGTGGCATAGATGAGCAGTCCATTGTAGCCGCACAGGGCCATCAGGATGAGGACACCCACGCAGAAGATGAACAAGGCCTTGCGCGCGTCTGCGAGCGTGGGCAGTGCGAGGTATCGCTGGATCATGTTCTGGGAGACGGCATTCGTCTGTGTCCAGTACACAATGCCTCCAAAGAACAGACACCAGAACGTGTGACGAACTGTGGGATCAATGCTGAGGCTGCAGCACACGAGAGTAATTTTGGATTAGTTTTTACAACAGGCTAGAAGTTTCTTCACTTACTCGGGCGCCTCCAGGCGATCCGTGTTCCAGGCTCTCTCCAGCACAACGCTCACACCGCCTATGTCAATGCTGCCCTTGATGGCCACCAGGCAGAGGGCGCCCAGCATGGACACTGCCTGCACCACGTCCGTCCAAACTACCGCCTTGAGGCCACCGAGGCTCGTGTAGAACACACAAATGATGCACACAATCGGCGTGATGGTGTGCACACCAATGCCAGTCACCTGGTTGAAGGCCAGCGCCGGCACATAAATCACGATGGGAAGATAGGCGACCTGAAGAAATTAGGAAAGGTTAAAGGTTTCAAGCTTCATGGCAAGAACTTTCCTTTCTATTGAATCTTAGCAGTCTTGGCGGCAGTCCATTTGCTCTCGGACTCTTTTTGTATGTATTCCATTAAAATCATAATTTAAATCATTAAATCATAAGTTAACTTATTTATATTTTCAGAAAGACAACTCCATGCTCGGTAGCATCGCTGAAAGTTCTGACAGTTGCGGCTATATCAATGGATGGAATCAACTTCGCTTACAGATGTGTGTATATCTTCGGTAAGTATATAGCTAATACTAAGTATATACAAATTAATATAATGAAAAATATATATATATAATATACATATTTTTGTTGTACCAACAGGTCCCTGTCCATGCAAAGACGAGACTAGGGAGCCTTGACATTTTGTCGGCCCTAAAAAAGGTTGTGAAACGCATCAGGCAGAAGCACAAGCTGAACTACTGTACGGCCTTCATAAATACGATGCCTTTCATTCGTGACTCGCACGGTATCCCAATATGGGACTTATGGTATTATATGGCATTTGATTGGGGCAGTCATGCTGAAGAAATCCACCAATGGGGGTGCATGATGAAGTGCATGATACTTAAAATATTTTAAAGCTCCATTTCATTTGACCAAAATAAGCAACAGAAAATTGTAATTTCTGGCTAACTTTGTATCTGCAAGTTTACATCACAGAAGATCCTTTTGATTTGATTGCCTATCGATACTCACATTCATAACCGCAAACATAATGGAGCCATACAGGCGCAGGCGTCGATCGAAACGAACTTCCAGATACTGCAAGAAAAAAGACATAGAGGAAGTTAAATCTGCTTATAGATTCCCGTAGATTCATGCTCTCTGTGTCCTTGCCTCGTAGGTGGATGTTATGTTTAGATCGTGGAAAACCGGCAGATAGAACACGCCCATCACAATGCCCATGCCAACGACACCGAAGGCCACGTAGAGGTACTGCACGCCATAGGAATACACCTCGGTGGGCAGTCCGAGGAGCGTTATGCCCGATATGAAGCTGGCCACGAGGGAGAAGGCAATGGGAATCACCAGCATCTTGCGACCGCCGAGCATGTAGTCCGCCTCGGATACGGATTTGTTCATGAAGCCAAAGTAGATGCCAATGCAGATGCATAGCAGGAACATGGCCACAAATGCCACATAATCTGGCCACGAGAAGCGTTGCAGCTCGACCAGTATCTCCTCAATGTCGTGCATCTTGTGGCACTCGACTCTAACTAACGAGGTAGGAAGAAGGACTAAAGATTTATCCAACGATGCGCGTCCAACGCCTAGGTCTGTCTCCGATTAACTAAGCTCAGGCCCATCTAATGCTCGCTGGCTCCTCTGGCTGTGATTCAATTCAATTTCGCTCAATTATCAATTGTCGAGCAATTTAGTTTTTGGACACAGAGGCGCTGGCGCAGGCACAGGCACAGTCACAGTCACAGCAGCACCCACAACAAATCTGTGCGCACATGTGGCAGAGGCGAAACCGGCGAGTGAGGCCCAAGAGTGTAGGAGAATTACGACACTTCAGTCTCCAGTTGAATCATGGACGCGACCTTAGAAAGTCCGGGGATTAGTCAACATCAAACAGTGCTCCCGGCAGACACTGCGAATTGACATAATCTTCACGAATTAAGATCTCGCAGAGATCTCTCCCACAATGACGTAGAGCGTAAACAATTATGTCACCGAACACTCTGAAGAACTGAAGAAAACCAAACCCAGGACCAACCAACCGACGACGACTTAACGCTCGGCCAAAATCAGAGACAAACACGAGCCGCGCGCTGCCTTCAGCGATTTAACGTCAAAAACATTCGCTCGGTAGAATTATTGGAAAAGTCGGAACTATTGCTGCGCTACGCTCTATGTTTGGGGGCGGTCTGGTCTGGTCTGGTCATTGCCACCGAGTTGCACAAGAACTGAGCGTGGCGCACGCGGCGCATCCATTTTATAGTCATTCATTAAATGCCCAACTGGCAGCGAGCCAGGAGAGGCCCAGCAGAGGAAGATCAAGTGCAAGATCATCAGCGAGAACAATGGCAGTCGTTTGATAACTTTAATACTCTTTGATTACTTTCAGGCAGCCGAACATAGTGCTCTTCCGCTCTGCTGCTCATTCATTGGCGGCGGCTTCCCTCTTGCAGCTCGCTCTTCAGCATCCACGAGGCGGCACGCATGGCAATGGCGGCGATGACTGTATTGGGATTCCCCGAAATGGGACGTGGCAGCACGCTGGCATCCACCACACGAATATTGGGCACACCCAGCAATCTGCAAGGACAATTTTGAAGAGCCTTTGACACGAGAAATGTGGCGACCCACCTGAGTTGTGAGTCCAGCACAGTGCCCAGAGCACAACTGCCACCTGGATGATGCGAACTCAAGCCAATGTGACGCATCAGACACTCCAAATACTCATCCGAGGGCTGCTGCTCGCGGAAATCCCTCTCAAATGGTCCGAAGTTTGAGCACTCCTGCAGCTTTGGCCAATGTATAAAAGGACGCAGCTGCGCAAACGAGGATGAGGTGACCAACTGCAGTACCTTAATTAATCTATTAATTAATCTTGAAAAATGTTCAGTCCAATAATTATTACTCGCCTTTACAGCACTTCGTATGGCCGCAATGGTGCAGGCCACATCATCCTCGTGGCTAAGATAGTTTGGATCGATCAGGGGATTCCTGCGCATGTGTTTGTTGGGTAGTCCCACCGAACCCCGAGACTTTGGCTGTAAGCAGCTGGAGATCACAACAAATCCCTCCTGCGAGGCATTGTGGTGCCGCGGAAAGAGAGCACGAAAGGCTGAAGCCTTGAAATTGGAAATGGACATGAGGGCAGCCTCGTCAATGGCCCCGGCGCCAAAGAAGGTGACGCCAAAGGGCGAGGGCTCCTCGTGACTAACCACATGACCCAGCACTCCAAAGTTGCCAAAGGGTCCCGTGCCCGAGCTGAGAAAGTTGAACACGCTCATTGGACTGAGGAGCGTTCGCTGGTTGAGGCTGGGCGCGACGACACCCATCGAGACAAAGAGCGGCAAATTCAAGTGATCGTGGAGATTCCGACCCAGCAGCGGGGAGTGGTGCAGCACGGGAATCCTCAGCTTGGCCAGCGTTGTGCTGTTGCCGATGCCAGAGGCCTGTAGCAGTTGTGGCGTCTGGTAGGCGCCGGCGCAAAGGATCAGCTCGCGTCGCACCTCGATGCTGAATTCCAGCTCCTTGTTGTCCGCATCCTTCAAGCCCACCAGAACGGAGCTGGCGCGAAGCGTGGGGCCAGACGAGAGCTGTATCCGCTTGACCAGTGCCTCGGGCAGAAGCCGCAGATTGGAATTCTTCAGTACGGGCTGCAGGAACTGCTGCACCACCGAGTGCCGGAGTCCGTTCTTGATGTTGTAGCGCGAGCGACGAAACACCCAAGGCTTGTGCGTGAATTCGGTCTGGGCATCGTCGAGCGCCTCCGTCAGCTTCGAGTAGCCTCGAGGTATTTCGTACATGTCGCAGGGCTTGGCTGTGGCGGCCGCCATGAAGGGGCCCATGTGCGCCCAGCTCCAGTCGCTTAGGTTGTGGAGCTGGTGCCAGGCGTCAAAGTCGGGGCCGTGCCCGTCGAAGTGGAGCATGTAGTTGAGGTTGGCGGAACCCCCGAGACCCTTTCCCCTCGGCAGGCACTGGCGCTGCTCGATGAGACCCCGGGCGGAGTGCCGCTGGGGCACTGAGAGAAACGACCAGTCGTTGATGCCCTTCTGCTGGAAGGTGGTCAGCAGGGGGATCCGGCTGAGCAGCCCAAAGGCGCTGCCGGCTTCAATAAGCAGAACGCTGCCATTGCTGTGCTTGGCCAGCAGCGAGGTGAGAGTGCTGCCCCCAGTTCCAGCCCCAACTGTAAGCGAAACAATCCATAATAACGTCCTGGAGGGTAGAACGACTGTAATCAACTCACCAATCACGTAGTCAAACGCAAACTGTCGCTCATCTGGCGCCAAAACATTCGGTATGGATTCCTTTAGCAGGCTGCAGACCATCATGGCCAAACCAGACAACAGGCCAATCACAATGCCTCCAACAATCAAGATCTCTGCAACAGAAATCTTCTTAAAATCAATTTGCTTCCTTTAACTTTTGGCATTTACTTTGGAAATGCTGCCCCATGGCTGTTGCTCTTTGCGGATGATGAAATTCAACTAGTTCAGGCGAGGGAGCAACTGACTGACATCAGCGTTTGGTCTAATCCAATTACCGCCAGTTCTCACTTTGGGGAATGGGCTGGGCGGCAAATTCGAATTGACGTCTATCGGCAATCGGTCCAACGATAACTTTTTCCCACTTTACAGCATTGACTCGGTACTGAACAAAATTTGATCAACAAAAATAATAAACGAAAAGCGTACCATGCGGGCCGTTATACAGCGAGTTAGAGCCGCAAAGGTTACTGGTATGCATTGCGCACATAATATACCATCTTTTTTCAGCGCTGACATTTGTCTTTCCCCCCAGTGCTGGATGAGCTGGTCTCCTCCATCGGGCCGGGACTGTGTGTGCTGGTTGGAATTAAAGCGACTGACACAGCCACAGACGTGGAGTTTCTGTAGGTAACTTCTTTGATTAATCATTGATAGAGTACATTTTCATTATTGCACCCATTAGGGTGCGCAAAATACTCGCTCTGCGGCTGTTTGATGACGAAGGCAAGCGGTGGCAGAAGTCGGCAAAGGACCTGCAGCTCGAGATTCTCTGCATCTCGCAGTTCACATTATATCACCGACTGAAAGGCAACAAGCCCGATTTTTCGGCTGCCATGAAAGGAGACGACGCCCAGAAGCTGTACACACATTTTCTGAATCGCCTCAAGCAGTCTTACGACAGCAGCAAAATTAAAGGTGCTGAATCCAAGGTGCCAAGGTGTGACCAGCCTCGACTTACAATTCCTTTATCTGCAGATGGCAAATTCGGAGCGAACATGCAGGTGCATATTGAAAACGACGGCCCTGTTACGATCAACCTGGAATCACCGGACAGAAAGCAGCCGGACGACTGCGTCGACAAGTGAACCAATATACACGAAAGCTACTACCTATTTATGTACCACGGGGTTTTTGTTAATTATATTCTCGTTAGCAGCTTAAATCTAAATCAGTGTACAAGAAGTCTTCCAAGTTAGGCTTCCAACATTTCCAAATCCTCGATTCCCATACCCTCCTCGAGACGCTTCTCCAACTCGCGTGCGTCCACGTAGGTGATCTTCTCTTCGGGCAGATCCTCCTCCTCCATGAGAGCCGCCTCCTCGGCCTCTTCCTTAGCACGACGCTCCTTGAGGCCAGCGGCTGGCGAACGAATCAGCGACATGTTACGTTGCACATTCTTGACGTCCATCTGGATCTCAATATCTCGGCCCTTGCGCAGACGCTCCATGACAAAGTGATCCTGGCGACGCTGCTTGATCTCCGTGACCTTCTTGATGGCTTCCAGGGCCTTCTGCCAGGTCTCGCGGCTGTATTTGACGGGTACATTGCGACGCTTCTCGAACTCAAAACTGGGATCGATGGCCAGCTCCTTGCCAGCAGTCTTGCGATGTGCCTTAGTCCAGCCTACCTTGCGTGGGTTCTTCTTGCGCTTGAATGCCTTGTGGCACTTTCCACGACAGAACTTAAAGATCTACCAACAGAGAAAAATGTCAGGTTTCAGGTGTATACAAACATGGGATGGCTGCGCAATTGCCAAAAACACATCGAACTGGGCCTCACCTTGCAGTCATTTCGTACGAAATTCACCCCGTGGCCGGGATATATTTTGCTGGAGCAAAAGTAACAAGTTTCAATGCGCATTTTCACAAATTAAAACAATTTAATTTGCGAAAAAAACAAAGCGCAGTTAGCACGTGTGCGGCTGAAGAAGAAGAGAAAAGCAGAGTTGCAAAGCGACTACTTTTCCCAGTGTGACCGCGGAAATATACCGAAAAATACCTTCACATTTTAAAAATATACCGCACATCTTAAATCATTTACCTCGATGTTAATGTTATCTTTAATAGCTGGTCAGGATTTTTAGCGCTAAAACTAATATTATATATTATACTATTATTCGATTTATCAATCCTTTCTCCACAAGTACTGGGTATTTTAACAGAATTTGTATTCGCAATTCAGCAAGACTCAACACTGAACGCCGACGTTTCGCTTGTATGAATTGACTCATCTATAAACTGTATGGCTGGTGTCAGTGCTTTAAGCTTTGTGTTGTAACGCGGCGAATTTCTTTACAGTATCGCAATAAATCTATCGGTGGTTGGACCAAATCGCCATGAAGTCGAAAGGTGTGTGTCCTGGAACGCTGGAACACTGTCAGAGTGGCGCCATTTACAAATTTGAAACTCCTCCCTTAGTTAACGTTTGGAAATTTTATTTCGTTTATTTGGTTTAAAAATATGCTTGTTAAATATAATAAAATACACGAAGTGTCTACACTATGTCTGCTCTTTGTTATACACCCATAATGCACTTGAAGTTATCTTAGTATCGGTGAATGTGTGAATCGCATCGCATCCACCCGTAGAGTAGAAAATGCACCTGCATTTACACTCCTATATTCCTATTCCTAATACTTTTAATCCGGCAATGGTTCTAGACAACAATAGATAGCAACAATTAGGCGGTAATTGGGGGTGAAGCGACTAGAACTTAGAATCTGCCCATCAAAAACCAGCTTAAACCGAAGAAAACAAACATGATGGATAAAAACAAACGGAAGGCAGACAGACCGACACTATTTACAGTGGCTGCAGGGGCGGTAGCCAGGTGTAAAAGAGAATGTAGGCGGCACTCGAGACGACATTCGGCGTTTCTAGACATGAGACCACTTGATCGTCAAACTTAAACCAGCGCCTGTAATGTGCGCTCTTGCAGAAGGCCGTGTAGTGGCCGCCCTCCATGCTGCCGTAGTGATTTGAGACGGCATACAGCTGGTAGGTCTTGGGCGTCCCAGCACGCGACTCGGCTCGTGCTATATACGGATTCATTTCCAGGTTCTGCAGGGGAAAGTTCAGATAGTTTTGCTTCTTCACATACGCACCCGTGTTGCTGGTATCTGCATAGAAGCTGTGGGGGAATGTTAAATAAATACTGATAGGGATCTGGGATGGATGCATAATTTACTTACCGCTTCAAATGCACAACCAGCACGGGTGGCAGCTTGGAAATGTCCAGCTTCTTGATTGCATCCCGCTTCGTCTTGCAATTGGGACAATTCCAGCCGTGGATGCGCTCCCCACTGAAGTACATGTCCATGCACTGACTCAGCTGGCACTCGTTCGCGTTGGGCGGCAGCTCGAGGCTGAGATTCGAGAAGCACTCGTACGTGGCCGACTCCTTGTGGCAGGCCACGCACTTGACGGTGCTCTTCATTTGACCATAGAATAAATGCAATATCATGCTCTCCTTGGCCTTGGTAAAGTCCAGCCAAGCCTTCTCGGCCGCACCGATGGTCTCGCGTATCCGCGGCACATCGAGCGTCTGCAGATCAGAGTGCAACCAGTCCATTAGAATGGTGAGGAACTCGTGCGAATCCTGCTGGTCAACGCCGCGAAATATCCTCTGGTACTGTCCCACCACATACTGAAAGGACGCAAGTCATGAGGAGTCTTTTGGGGTTGCACAAAAGCTTACCCTTAGATCCCGACTGGCCACACACTTGTATTGGCCATTCCACAGCACCTTGATGAGTGCGGCCACCTCCTCGATGACCTGGCCATTCGTCTTGTTGCTGCGACTGATGTAGCTCTTGTACTGGTCCGATATGCAGTACTCCGTCAGCTGTGGCGTGTTGCTCAGGCACTGCAGAATGCTGTTCATGTAGCAGGTATTACCCAGGTTCTTCAATCCCGTGAGACCTTTTCCCTGCAAAATTCAAGAGGAGAGTTTCAAGATTGCTAGACTCTCTCAATGAGAAGATTGCATTACGCGTCGTAGGGGAAAGAGAGAGCTATAAATTCTGTAAGTAGGCAAAGCCGTTGGCCGCTGAAACTTGACGCCTGCCACGGAAATCATTCGGGTATGCCGATTCCGGGTATTTGCTGCTGCCGCTGCTGCTGCCAAACAGTTCCGCGCTTGTACGTTGCTTTAGCTTGAACATGCTTTGAGTGCGGACAGCGAGCGACTGCTTTGGGGCTTTCGTTGGGCGAAACGTGACCCTTGGTTCTGCTATTGATTCCGCCAGTGGTTTGGCCGGGCGGCTATTTATAAGCCGTGAGTGAGTCAATACACCCACGTAGACCCTCCCTAGGCCAGCTAGTACCCATTTTCAACCCCCATGCGAACAAATCACTCACCATACTGGGCCCCTCAACGGGCGAGAAATCACGAGCCCGTGACACTGTCTTTTCCACACTCCTGGGCCTCGACGTCGGCTTCGTTGTCCGATCGAACGTGGGCTTCTCGGCCTGACCGTCGTCAAACACCAGACTTTCTTGCAAGGCCAGACTCTCTTCCAAGACCAGGTCCAAATCGGCATCACCATTGGTGGTGGGCTTGACGAGAGACTCAATGTTTTGCGACGCATCTTCTGGCGGTGGCGACGGTGGCTTGTAATGCTTCTTGGCCTCTCGGGCAATGGCCAGCTGCTGCTCCCGCTCCTGGCGTTGGCGCTCGTACTGTTCGTCCCGCCGCTGTCGCTGCTGAATCTCCCATTCGATGCGCCTCGTGGCCTCCACCTCGTTGGGGCTCACCTCCTGCGGTGCCACCGTCTGGGACGTCTTTAAGCGCTCAACATCATCGCGCAGGCGATTGTTTTCAATTTTCTGTCGAGCAAAGAAAGATTAGAGCAACGATTCGATTCCATTTGCCCTGTGGCTCACTTACATAATCCTCGGCTTGGTTTTCCAGCTGAAGGATCTTGTAGAGCAGCTGCCGATCCGACTCGCTTAAGTCGCTCGAGGGACTCTTCTGCTGGATGAGCCTCTTCCACATCTTGGCTGCATTGTCCAGCTGCTCGTCGTTGTGCTTGGCCCGCTGCAGGAACTCTGCCTGGTCGCGCATGATCTCGGCAATGGGCTTGGCCTGGTCGTAGGTGCGCAGTGCCGCCTGCTTGCTGGCCCGATTGATATCCGGGCGAGGCCTAAAGTCACGCGGACTGATGTCCTCTTTCATGGTAATGTCGCTGATCGACGGATACTCGATGTCGTCAATGGTCTCGATGTCGTTGTTGTTCTGCTGCGGCGCCTGCACACTAGGATTGGTGCAGTGCGTGGGGTACATCATGATGAAGTACTCGTAGCCACCCTCCACGATCTGTATGGGCGCGCGGTAGGTGACATCGGGGTCCCACTGCAAAGGAGAACAAATCTCTGGTTACTACATTTTTCAATTGTTGTTGGTGTTCGTTCTTCACTTACATTTTTGAGTATGTCTAGGAGCGTGGCAATCGCTGTATTTGCCGCCGGCTGGGCATCCTTGCTGTTCCAGTCCATCAGCACCACCGAATCCTTGATGGAGCGAGACGCCCACGAGGCCTTGGCGCTGCTGCTGAGCCGAGCCTGCAATTTGCCAGCCGACATTCTGTACGGGATTATATGGAGAGTGAGTGGAGTCATCTCCAAGTGGATATTGCCTACTTACCCTGGAGTTATTAGATCTTCGGGCACATTGAATGCACAGACGTAGGTGAGGTGGGACTTCTCGTAGTCGGCACTGGAACGACAGTCCATTACCAGCACGGATTTCTCATGCATTCGCTCGAACAGCTCCTGGCACGAGACGACGCCCAATCGAGTATACTCTGTGGCTTGTGTGGAGGACGTGGCGCTCTTTAGCGCCTTGCAGCCACCATTTCTGATTGGCTCTGGCTGGCTATGCAGGGCGGTCGTCTGCTTCTGCAGTTTGCTGTAGCGCATTGAGAGCGAGTCGGTTATCAGCTCGAGGGAGTCCATAATTCGACGATTCGCTTCGGTGTCGCCCAGCGCCTCCTTCACCTGCACTTTGTGGCTCTGGTAGTCAGGCTTCTGGCGAATGGCCGTTATCACCTTGAAGTACTTCATGTAGCTGATGTAGGCCATCTCCTCGTCGCCATCTAGTCGATACTCCTCCGCCGTCATAAAGAGTTTGCGAGCAGTGAGGAGTAACCTGTAAGCGGAAAAATTGAGAAGATCATTCCTTGATGATGCAGTGTCCACACCTACATTTTCGTGCTCTTGCCGCGCAGGTCTATCGCTATGTTGGACAGCTGGCCCAGGGTATCAAGGTTGTCGGTCATGTGCAATTTCTTCAATTGGGCCATGTTTGGGGTGTTTATTTTGCGTCTCTGTTTGCTGGGTTTTGGTGGCCGTCTATGTGGATCTGGGAGTTGTGGGCACTGACGCTGCAGCAGGGGTCATAGCAGCAGGAACTTTTTACGATCTACGGGCTGGCTGGGATGCATTAAATAAATTAAAACCACTTGCTAAAAAAAAACCACAAAACCAGTGTGACCGCGAAATTATCGATAAAACATACCGGCAGAGCCTCGGAAATATATCCTTTCATTTTCAAAATATACTGTAAATATACCGTAAATCTAAAATCAATCGTTATATCACACTGAATGTAATTGTTTATTTACTAATTTGAAGTTTTATCAATGGGCAAGACATCAAGAGATAAACGTGACATATTCTACCGCCTGGCCAAAGAACAGGGATGGCGGGCGAGGAGTGCCTTCAAGCTGCTGCAGGCCGAGGAAACCTTTCACCTGCTGGACGGTGAGTCGAAGCCACATCGTGCTTTGAACGATGATTGATTTTGTTATTTTTCCAGGAGTCACACGTGCCGTGGACCTGTGCGCCGCTCCCGGTAGCTGGTCCCAGGTCTTATCCAAGCACATGTACGAGCCACGCTCACCCGAAGAGCGGGAAAAGGTTAAAATCATTGCAGTCGATCTGCAGGGAATGGCGCCCATCGACGGAGTGCACCAGCTGCGGGCAGACATCACCAAAGAGTCCACCGCCGAGGCCATCATCGAGTACTTTGAGGGACAAAAGGCTCAACTGGTGGTCTCCGACGGGGCCCCCGACTCCACGGGCATGAACGATTTCGATGTGTACATGCAGGGAGAGCTCGTCCTATGCGCTTTGAGCATTTCCACGTTCATCCTGGAAAGGGGTGGCACTCTGGTGGCTAAAATCTATCGGGCGGACAACGTCAGCCGCCTGTACGTGCAGATGCAGCGATTCTTCAAGGATGTGTGCGTGTTCAAGCCCTCGGCATCGCGTAACTCCAGCATCGAAGCCTTTGTGGTGGCGCGCCAATTCTGCCTGCCCGAGGGCCACAGGCCCTGTAATCTGACCACAGAGTGGCACCAACAGCCCGAAACGTGGCTGGTTCAGAGAAAGGGCAGCGAGCCAAAGCCCATGGTTCACGTACCCTTTGTGGCCTACAAAGGTGACCTCGATGCGGATCGCAGCTATTCATTGGTTCGTATATCCCGCACATCCCCACCGATGGAATGTTTCATTATGGGTTTTCCAGGATGAGGACTATGTCTACCACGAACCTGTGCAACAGCCCCTCACAGCCGCGTATCAAGATGTGCAACAAAAATTGGGCACTACATCCGTCAAATATAAGCCCATCATCGTCATCCATGATGAGGAACTGACAAAGGAATGGCGGGAGGAGCACAAGCATGAAAGCAAGGAGCCTGTCGAGGATTGACCCGCAATAAATCAAAGACTTGTATTCCAATTCATATTTCGATTCTTCCAGGAAACTAATTAACTATTTACAATTCCATTGGCAGACTGGCAGGCGGCTGTTGGCCCTGGATCTATAAATGCTGAGTGATTTGCTTCTCGGCTGGCTTTACGCCGTATTTATAAACCTTGTTGAGGCTCTCCGGGAAATCAGGCAGCAGATTGTTAAAGTTCTCCACATGATGGGTGTGCTGCTCCGTCCAGATGCCATCGCCGGTGAAGTGGAACTCCGATTCGATTAGATAGAGAATGAGCGTGAGAATCTCGCTGTTGCTCAGATTATTGACATCGGACACGGGCAACTGCAGTTCCTCCTGAATTTCGCTTGACTGCAGCAGCAAGAGCTTCTCCTCAATGCGTTTACTAGGCGGGTAAAAAGGGACAGTTTTAGCAAGGAATAAGAAATAGTTCCTATAACTCACATGGGATACAAGAGCAAGTGGATGTTGTCAAAGATCTCCGACAGATTGAACTTCTTGCTTTTCAAGTACTCCAGACACTGCTTCACATGCAGCAGGGGTATGTGGCACCAGTTGGGATGGCGGGAAAGCAGATTTCGCAGCGCATGCTCATCCTTGGACAGCACGTTGCCCAGGTAGACGACAATATCACGACCCTTGGTGCGATCCGAGCCATCTCTAGCGAATCTGCAGGGGACAAAGGTTATGCAAGGCTGATTGGGTGCTCCAGATGGCCGCTCCACTTACTTGGCAAACGCTTCGGAACCGCAGGAGAGGATGTGCAGGGAGGCGCATCGCACCTTCAGCTGCGTCAAGTAATCCAAGCGAAGGCGAGCCTTGTTCTGATAATGGACCAGACGTAGCACGCGCGGATTGGTGCCCAGCACCTGGAACTCCTCGATCTCCTGTAGATCCCGTAAGCGCTCCAGCACTGTGTCCGGCCCCAGGGTGAGCACCTCCAAACAACGCAACACCGCGCCCTCGCTGATGCCAAAGGAGCGGACATTCTGTAGGGTCTGCTTCAGGCTGTCGCACGTGGACATTAGAATCTTGGGCCGGCGGTAGCCAATGTCGCGTATGTCCTGCGAATCGATGGTGGGAATCTCCTGTATGATGCGCCGCACATTATCCGCGTCCGCATGCAGCAGGAAACTGTTCTTCCGCAGGCGCTCTGCGGAAAACTTTAGCTCTTTGGTCAGCAGCTCAACTGTGTCCTGCACAGAGCGGAAACTTTTGTGCCGCACACGGGAGTAGACCCGCCACAGCTTTTGCAGATCGCCATCGTCCATTTGCAGGCGCTCTCGAAGGTAGGCGTTCATCAACGATTGGCGGAGGGTCTTCACGCTGATGCTCTCGCTATCCAGCTCCTGCGTCGCCAGCGGTAGGGAGATGTCCGTGAAGAGACTGACCAGACGCTCGTGCACCTTCATGTCGAAGGGTATGAAGCCATGAGCCTTCAGAAAGTCGATAGGCCTATTGACCACCGTCACATACTTGGCCAGCGTTTGGATGGTTATATCATGGAAGCCGCACTCCAGCAGCACGCTGTGGCGATTCGAGAGTGTCGTCGCCCCATAATAGATGATCATGGGCTTGGCAATAATATCGTCCACGCTGTACTGTAGCGCTTTTAGAATATCGTAGGAGTTGAGCAAATCCTTGCGCTTCACCGTCTTCAGCTCGGGATGCTTTTCCAGTGCAGCGGACCAGGCTTTATAGTTGCTACCTATTAAATTATATCATCATTACTGAAAGATTCTCTATAAAGTGCGGCATAAACTTGCCCAGAGCTTTGGACAAATAGTTGGCATTTAGCGCCTCTTCCATTGGTATCTCTATGTGCGACCCAGACTTCAGCTTTGGCTTCACCTCTCGACTGGTCGCCTTTTTAGCCGTAGCCGCTCCACGCAAAAGCTGGCACAGGCTGCTTCGCACCAGCAGCTGCGCTTGACGCTGACCGTTTCTAAACATTATTTATGCATTTCCATAAACTAAACTTTTCTAATTGAACAACAAGTAAAACCATGTAACTAATCGCTGTGAATAGCAAACAGCTGATGCGGTTGTGACTGTCACCAGTTGCGTTAGATCAGGAATCTAGTCCCCCGATGTTGAATTTACTTCTTAATATTACAAGCAAGTAAGCCACGCAGCCAATACAAAATGAAATCAGCCAATAGAGAATGGAATCATTAATTGCATATAATTATAGTTTTAGTGCTGAAGGCTCTAACTAGCTGATAACATTAAATGGAATATCAAAATTGAGGAAATGTTTTGATGTGATTCGGTATATTTTTGGTATATTCAAAACATCAGGACGTATATTTCGGTATATTTCTGAGGGTCGTCAAAGACCTACACGTGCGTGCCTTCGTTATTCGAAATTGTAATTTGTTTCGTCGTATTTTTCAATAAAGAAAGCACTTCAAAATGTCGCTGTTACGCATCAGGTGAGCCTTAAACCATTACCCTTTAGAAACAGCTAAATTCAACTGATGGAGCTTTCAGGAAACCCAAAACCCGCAAGGGAAAGAAAATATTAATGGCCCGGGAGCCGCAATTGATAGAGTCGGCCCGCACAATGCTCTTTGTGGATGGACGGAAATGCGGTGGCAACGTCAAGCAGTGCATGAAGGATCTAAATCAACTGAAGAAGCCTCTGGTGAAAGTCCTGAACCGCAAAAACGACATAACGCCTTTTGATGATCCTTCCTCCTTGGAATTGTAGGTGAAACGTTCAGAAAAAAGTAGAAGTTTTTCGCTAATCCGTAAATCCCTGACAGTTTGACCATGAAGAACGACGCTGCACTGTTCGTGTTTGGTTCCACGTCCAAGAAACGCCCCGACAACATCGTTCTGGGCCGACTCTTTGAGAACGAAGTCCTAGACATGTTCGAGCTGGGCATCAAGCGCTACCAGGCCATCTCCGAATTCAAAAACGAGAAGATCGGGGCCTGTGTTAAGCCCTGCCTGGTGTTCAATGGACCCCAGTGGGCTCAAACTGAGGAACTGAGGCGTCTACGTAATTTGTTCATAGACACATTCCACCGCGAGAAGGTGGAGTCCATACGCCTGCAGGGCGTCGAGCATGTGATGAGCTTCACGGTGACCGATGACATGAACATCCTGCTGCGATCCTACAAGATCCTGCTGAAGAAGTCAGGCCAGAAGACGCCACGCATCGAGCTGGAGGAGATTGGACCCTCAGCCGATTTTGCCATACGTCGCACAAAGATTGCCTCCGAGGACCTGTACAAGCAGGCACGCAAGCAGCCCAAGCAGTTGAAGGAGGGCAAAAAGAAGAACATCAGCACAGACGCGCTGGGCAACAAGAAGGGACGCGTGCATATGGGCAAGCAGCTGACGGGCTCCATTCAGACGCGTCGCGTCAAGGCTCTGCGCAAGACGCCCGAGGAGAAGAAGGAGAATCGCCAGAAGAAGAAGGTGGCCCTGAAGACTGCCGCCGCCGAGGCCTTGGCGGCATCCCAATGAGCAACGAACGTAGTAAGCCCCATGTCTATCTTCTAGTTAGCTTTAGTTGTAATAAATTGGTCCAGATTAAAGTAGCATTAAGACTACTCCGAGTATTGGAAACTTCAATGAATTCCTTCGACAATGTTGCGGATGCGCCGCGTCTTCGACTCGGCCAGGGCGTCCTCCAGTGTTCTGATCATATACAACAGGCTACTGACATCGGTCTGAACCAGCAGATCCTTGCGATGACGTCGCTCGTCCTCCTGCATGGCCGCCAACTCCTGCTCGCTACGTCCTGAATCGTCTACCTTCAGCAGCTCTCGGTTCTCATTCTTTGGCTCCCTGTGCAGGTAAAGCTTCATGGTGATCACCACACTGCACTGCTCCAGCAGAGTGCGCGATGCCGTGCGCACCTCCAATCGCCAGTCTAGATTTACCAGCCGATAGGATCGTATATTGGCCGACTTGATCGACCCCTCCACAAAGTTCCGCTTGCTCGTAACAAACTGCTCGAGCACCTCCAACACATCGTCGCTGATATCGGGGAATGTTTGACGCAAAAGTGCCTTAATGTCCACGCCACTGGGCCCCACGCGGGTGGTTACACTGATCAACAACGATATCAGGGCTTCCACTGTGCGCTGCACCGCCTCCTTGTCCACGGCATCTGTGGAGTATTTCTTGGCCATTGTCTCGTAGCGGGTACCATTGGGTCCGTTGATTAGGTAGTCGAAAGCCGACTTGCACAGCTCCACGACATCGCTGGCTGGACGCTGGAGCAGCGTCAAGTGATCCTTTTGATGCTGGGTCAGTCGCAGCGAGGACATTTGGTTTGAGTTAAACTGAAAGTGCACAAAAGAATGGCTAATTTCATCTCTATGTGTAGTGGGTAGTACTTACCATACTATTTAGGATTCAGGACTATGCAAGGATATGGGCAGAGGCTCATGGCGCAGCTAAACTAAACTACAAATAAGAGAATTTATCTAATTGCAGCAAATATGATTCTCTCTCACCTCTCTGCATCTGCTTGTCTTCTAGTCATAAAGATTCTGACAGAATTTGGCACTTTTAGAAATTAGAGAGAGATTAGAGATCCTATTCAATCGTATTTCCTTGGCTTTTATTGGCAATTATTTAAACAATTATTAAAAACAACACAATCCAAAGATTCTGGGGCCGCTTACATATGTTCGTGTTGGACAACGTCTTTTGTATTTCATTGCCAAGAACTCAGTGTTGCGAGGTGTGCAAAAGTGTGCATCAGCAGGCGACTGTTGCATTTCTTGTGTTTGTGTAGAAATTGTTTATTTATTGAACTAAAATAAGGAAAATAAAGCATGGAATTCGATAGTCCTGAAGAGAAGGAGTTTCCGGGCCTGTATGCCGCGGAGGCAGCCGATTCCAAGTCCAAGAAGAGCAAGGAGGAGAGCGATTGTAAGTATGCTGCAGTGCGTGGGTGCATCCAAACGGCGTAAAATCAATACCTGGGTCTTTGCAGTCGACGAGGATCATGAGCACAACAAAATGGACCTGCTTATAGGCAAGCGAAAGGACAAGAAAGACAAGGGCAAGGATCGTGGCTATGCAGCTCTAGAGGGCGAAAGTTCCCCAGAAGAAGAACTGGAAACAAAGTAGGTAACGCCCTAATCTTGACCAGAATGTCTCTCTAATCCATGGCATTTTTCTGCAGGAGTCCCTCGAAGTCAAAGAAATCGAAAACATTCAAGTTCGTCAGCTCCAAGAGCAAGGAGAAGCGTGAAAAGTCGCGCGACAAGGAAAAGTCCGTGGAGGAGCCGGCGCACAAGGCAAAGGACACGGATAAGGACAAAGACAAGGAGCGAGAGCGCCACGACGAGAAGGAGCTCAAGAAGAAGGACAAGAAGAAAGACAAAAAGGACAAGAAGAGCAAGCAACTGTCACAGCAGCAGGACGAGGACGCCGAGGAGGAGGACCTGGCCATGGGCTATCCCGTCTTCGGAGTCTCCGTCAGCCTGGCCACCGAAAGATCGCGCTGCCACGACGGCACCGATCTACCGATGGTGGTGCGGGACTGCATCGACTACTTGCAGGAGCAAACGCGAAACTTTCTCATCTACAAGGTGGAGCCCCTCAGGGCGGAGCTCCTCCACCTGAAGCGACTCTACAACCACCGGGAGCACGATGCTGCGATGGCTCTATTCACCGTGCCATTGGCCTGCAGTCTCCTGAAGCTGTTTCTGCGCGATCTGCCGGAGCCCATGCTGACCACCGATCTGATGTACGACTTTGAGGACGTTGCCAGGAACCGAAGGGGCAAGGAGCAGCGCATTGGGCTGCAGCAGCTGATGGAGCAGGTGCCCAAGTGCAATCGAACACTGGTCGGTTGGGTGATGCTCCACTTGTATGCGGTGACCGATCAGGAGAGGTACAACAAACTGAATCACGAGTCGATTGCCGTGCTACTGAGCCCCACGCTTCAGATGTCGGTGCCACTGATGGTCGCGCTGCTCCGTCACTGTCGCACTATCTTTGCGGACATTCAGCTGATACAGTAAGCAAACATGTGCTTAGATTTAAGATAAGATGCGCTGGCAGCAACCTGTAGCTTCTCCCCCAATTAGTTGGTTGACGAGCATGAGCTTGGTGCGCCCGAAACGGAAGCGCTTGGCGCGCCTCATCAGCTTCCTAATCAGGCAGAGACACGCTCCGCGGAGATTATATCAGTCGCTAATTCGACTTTTTGTCTCTCTCTTGCAGATATGTACCGCCGCTAACGGCTGCTTCCCAGCTGCCGGAAGACCCGGAGGACATCCAAATGGAGTTGCGAAAGCAGGATAGTCTTCTGACCCAAATACACAGCGAAATGAATGCGGGCTTCATCACCAAGAATCGCGAGGAGCAGCTCTGGGAGGTGCAGCGCATCATCACACAGTTAAAGCGAAAATTGCGCAGCTTCGAAAAGAAGCAGGAGAAATCAATTGAAGAGCTGGATGTCAGCTCTACTCAACCTGTACCAGCTCCACCTGTTGCCGTACCTGTGTGCGAAGACACCACCGACGCCAGTCAGCCACCCGCTGCCCCCACTTCCGAAGTGACAAACGCAGAAGAGCACAAGTCAGGTAGGCGGGCATCGAGTTCCAGTCCAGTCACGCACAGCATAGACGTGTCCGACTGCATCCAGGTGCACAGGAACGAGGAGGAGGAGCCATCGAGCCACAGCCCACCGCTTTACACAGTAGACGGAGAGTTTGGCTTTGTCCTGTTGCCCGAGTCGAATCCCCACCGCGAGGAGCTGCTGCGCCTGCAAATCGAATACGATGAGCTGGTGGCCTTGCAGAATGAGCTCAAGGCACGCATCAAGACCGAACGAAACGAGGTGTATCGCTTGAATCGTCTGTGCGAGCAGCAGCTGCTTAAGCACCAATCGGCCGCTGGGTCACAGCCTCCCAAGGAGGCCGAATACGAGCGGATAATCGAGCACTACAAGCGGGAGAATGCACTGCTGGAGCACAAGAAGCAAATGCTGGGCAAGGAGCTGAAGGAGGAGCGTCGGGCGTGCATTTCACTGCAAGTGGAGCTGCGCCTGCAGCAGTTTTAAATGTATTACCCAGTCTAGTTTTATTCCTGTTCAATCTCAATGTGCGTTAAACGAACAAAAAGCTGAAGCAGTGGCGGAGAGGATAGAAGAGAGGAGCAGTAGAGAGCAGCGTCGTGTGCAGCAATTTTAAATGTATTAACCATTGAAGTTTTACTTCTCTACAATCTCGATGTGATGTTAAACGAACAAAAGCTTACATTTAAATAAAAGCTCAAATGTTGAAATGGCGCGTCGACACAAGTTGGCAGAGCAAATCCACCACCACCACTAGCTATCAGAAGCTTCAGAAGAAGCCGCTAATAATCTTGCGGGCTTTTCGCGAAAGCTTCTTGCTCCATTGGCTCTTGGGATTTCGCTGGTGGCGTTGGCTAATTTGATTGCATTGTTTAATATAATTCATAAATAAATCATCCGAAAATGTTGAAGCAAGTAACCAGGCAATTGGCCCTCCAGGGAGTGCGCAACTTCTCGGTCAGCCAGCAGGTAAGAACGCATTTCAAAGCACACACATGCAAAACACCCACAAATTCTGGCTGCAGCTGTTTACGTAATAGCAGAAAATGCATCACCGGAAAGGCAAAAGTGCAATTAACTGTAACCTTACAGTACTTTCCCACTGATTTTAATGCTCGAATGGACATGATCTTTCTCCACCCACGCAGAACAACTACAAAGTGACCGTCTGCGGTGCCTCCGGCGGCATTGGCCAGCCTCTGTCGCTGCTGCTCAAGCAGAATCCCTTGGTCACCGATCTGTCCCTGTACGACATTGTGCACACACCCGGTGTTGCCGCCGATCTGTCCCACATCGACACCAAGAGCAAGGCTGTCGGATTCATGGGCGCCGACCAGCTGGGCGAATCCCTGAAGGGTGAGTAGAGGGCAGCAAGTGAGGTTAGAAACGATACCAGTGGAAAATTTACATGACCAGAGGTGGGGGGAGTGTTGGTATGCTTCTTGGGGATGTGCATAAAGAAGTCGAAATCATGCTCTCTGATAAGATAGGGGGGAACAGTGGCACGGCTATTGGTATATATAACTACGTAATCAGACTAAGGTCCACTTATCAGCAGTAGAATGGGGCGGATGGATTGCAGCGCAAAGCTCAAAGTGTCAGCAGATTATCAATGAGAACCTTTCCATATCTTATTCCCCGCACAGGCTCCGATGTGGTTGTCATTCCCGCTGGCGTTCCCCGCAAACCAGGCATGACCCGCGACGATCTGTTCAACGTGAACGCCGGCATCATCAAGGACATTGCCAACTCCATTGCCAAGAACTGCCCCAAGGCCCTGGTGGCCATCATCACGAATCCCGTGAACACCTGCGTGCCCATCGCTGCCGAGATCCTCAAGAAGGTATGATGAATGCATTCCTAGAGAGAACATTAGCTAATCCTATCCCTTTCCACTTTGTAGGCTGGTGTCTATGACCCCAAGCGTCTGTTCGGCGTCTCCACCCTGGATGTGGTGCGTGCCCGCGCCTTCATTGGCCATGCCCTGAACGTGGATCCCCAGACCGTGCAGATCCCAGTGATTGGCGGTCACTCGGGCGTCACCATTCTGCCCGTGCTGTCCCAGAGCCAGCCCCTGTTCAAGGGCAGCCAGGATGTCATCGAGAAGCTGACGGTGCGCATCCAGGAGGCCGGCACAGAGGTTGTCAAGGCCAAGGCTGGCGCTGGTTCAGCCACCCTCTCGATGGCCTATGCCGGCGCCCGTTTCGCCGGATCCCTGCTGAAGGGCCTCAACGGCGAGAAGAACGTGATCGAGTGCTCCTACGTGCAGTCTTCCATCACGGAGGCCACCTTCTTCTCCACCCCACTGGTGCTGGGCAAGAACGGTCTGCAGGAGAACCTCGGCCTGCCCAAGCTCAACGACTACGAGAAGAAGCTGCTGGAGGCCGCCATCCCTGAGTTGAAGAAGAACATCCAGAAGGGCATTGACTTTGCCAACGCCTAAGATGTTAGCATAGAGATCCCTCCATCCATCCTCCAACCCACGAATTCCCTTTGATTGTGTACTGTACTTCATTAGCGTCTATGTGACGTGTGTCCACATTCCCGTATGTGGCATGCGGCTCTCCCTTTTAGCAAATCTTTCATTTTAAGTCGGAAAAGTGTGTAACGCTTAGCGTGTCCAAAGATTGGCCAGATCTACGCTCTGTGTATGGTAAACAATGCAACCTGTTGATATCTGAAATAAAAACAAGTTATGAAATTGGAAATGATTATTGTAAGAAGACATTTGTGGGTGGATATATGTATGTACATGTCTGTAAACTCCTAGCCAGAAACCTTCGACTAAAATTCGATATCTGTTCTTACACTGCACGAAAAGTAAGAGAAATTTTCACAAAAATCTCTTCGATAGATTGCCACTGCAACCGTTCGATTTTGTTGAGTGTTGGCAATGCTCACTGCTTTCTCTCTCTCGCGCAAACAAACACAATGCTCTCACATACACACCCATACAGGCGCACTCAATTAAGCTTCGTTAAGATCAATTTAGAAATGCCCGCATGTCATGCTCTCTCTCGCTCTCGCCCCTGTGCCAACCATAACCCCCTACCATGACTGTGTGTGTCTCAGCCTCCAC